GGGGGGGGGGGGGGGGGGGAGGGAATGTTTTAAAAGCCAACCTCGACAACAGCTGCAAAGGCTGGATGCAGCGGGGACGGGTGCGGACGGGGGCAGCGTGTCCCCATCTGCCTCGGGTGCTCGGTCCCGTACCGGCAGCTCGTGCACCGTGGGGGCCCTGCTGCCGTAGCTCTGGTTGACGGTCCGGAAGCGGGGGTGACCCTGCGGCTGCCTGCGGGGGGAGAGCACAGCTAGCGAGGGGAGCGGGGCGCCGGGGCCGGGGCCGGGCCAGCGCTCACCCGTAGCCGCGGTAGAAGGTGAGCTCCTGGAAGCGGCGCGGCACTCCCGGGCTGAGGCCGGACATGGCGGAGCCGCCGGGCCGGAGCGTTGCCCGGCGACGAAACGCGGAGGGCGGGGAGCGACCGCTCCGAGCCGCGCAACCGCCCCGGGCAGGGCGGGGGCCGCGCTCCGCTCCGCCCCGCAGGAAGCGGAAAGCGCCGCTGACCTTCCCTCCCTCCTCCTCCTCCTCCTCCTCCTCCTCCGTGCCCTGCCGCGGGCTCGGAGCATGGCGGTGCCGCGGCTCCTGCGGGCAGGTGAGCGGCGGGACCCGGCCCGGCCCGGAGCGGCCCGGCCCGCCCGTGTGACCCGCGTGTTTCTCTCCCGCAGCAGCCCCGCGGTTCTACAGCAGCGTCCCGGTCCCGGTCCCGGCCCCGGCAGCCAGCCGGCCCCGCGGTGAGTGCTGCCTGCACCCCCGGCACACAGCGCTTGAGCCCTGCAGCAGCGGCCGTGCTGCATCGGCCGCCGCTCCGCAGTCCCGGCTCGGCCCCACCAAACACACGGGTTATTTGTTTCCCCTCTCTCAGATGAGGATGACAAGCTGCTGACCGAGCCTCTCAGCCACCCCGACTTCTTCAGCGTGAAGGAGCTCTTCACCCTGAAAGATCTCTTTGATGCTCGGGTGCACCTGGGCCACAAAAAGGGATGTCGGCACAGGTGAGTGATGCTTTTCGTGATCCAGTGCTTGTTGACATCGGGAATGCTTCCCCACACCACATTTGCTGGATTGGTCTGAGCCTGGAACTGCCCACCCAGGGCAGGAGATCCCCCCAACATTGAGAGGGTGTGAGACTGGGACAGACACTGGGTGCGAGGGCTCTCAGAACACCTCTGGTATCAGCCAGGAGCAGGAGCATGGGATGTTTCCTGTGGGGCCCCACACATCCAGAAACACTCGATGCCCGCACACCCCATCCCCGTGTCCCCTGTGCCGCCCTCCCGCTGCCCCCGCAGGTTCATGGAGCCCTACATCTTCGGCTGCCGCCTGGATCAGGACATCATCGACCTGGATCAGACCATGCAGCACCTGCAGCTGGCCCTCAACTTCACGGCCCACGTCGCCTACCGCGGGGGCATCATCCTGTTCGTCAGCCGCAAGCGCCAGTTCTGCCACCTGGTCGAGAGCACGGCGCGGGCGTGCGGGGAGTACGCGCACACCCGCTACTGGCAGGGCGGGCTCCTCACCAACGCCCACGTCCAGTTCGGCCCTGGCGTCCGCCTGCCCGACCTCCTCGTCTTCCTCAGCACCCTCAACAACGTCTTCGAGCCGCACGTGGCCATCCGGGACGCGGCCAAGATGAACATCCCCACGGTTGGGGTGGTGGACACGAACTGCAACCCGTGTTTGATCACCTACCCCATTCCCGGGAATGACGACAGCCCCGCCGCCGTGGAGCTCTACTGCAAACTCTTCAGGATGACCATCATCCGTGCCAAGGACAAGAGGCGGCATAGCGAGGCCACGAAGGAGCTGTGGAAGAAAGCCGAGGGCAACTAGAGCCCTAGGGATGGGCTCAGTGCCTCTGCTCCAATTCCATGGGACTGGCTCTGCATCCAGAGCACCGGCTCTTGGCACAGCTGGCTGGCTGGGGAAGGGACCCCCCAGTCCTGTGCACGGTGATCCAACAGCAGTCACAGCCATGGAGGGTCTTTAGCTCCAAAAACTTGTACAGAGCAGTGCAAGGGGAAATAGAGCCAGGCCAGCCCCTGCTCTTATCCTTGAGTTTGTCACTGTTGCAGGGGGGTGCCGCTGTCCTGTGGCTTTCCTGAGCTTGTGATCTCACCTGAAACCACTTCTGTTTTGCATCTCTTCTTAGCAAATAAAAGGATTTATCCCTGTGATCCTCTTTGGATTTTTCCCTTGTGGAGTGGGACGGGGAGTCTGGCTGGGGCAATCACAGCAATGAGGGAAAGGGATGAAGGATGGGCCCATGCTGGGGACACTGCAGAGTGGCTGATGCAGGACGGGAGGGTCCCCACTTTGTCCCAGGACACACTGTGAGCCCAACCTTTGCCACCACGGGATATGGGGGACTCCAGGAGCAGCTGAGAAAATGGGATACCTATCCCTTAGTAGCATTGTGTCTCCATGGGAGGCCCTAGAGCAGTCCTGGGCAGGGCTCTGTGTCCCATCCCATGTCCTATCCCATGTGTCCCATCCCATGTCCCATCCTGTATGTCCCATCCCGTGTCCCATCCCATGTGTCCCATCCCGTTTCCCATCCCGTCTGTCCCATCCCATGTCCATCCCATGTGTCCCATCCCATCTGTCCCATCCCGTCTGTCCCATCCCGTGTCCCATCCCATGTCCATCCCGTGTCCCATCCCGTGTCCCATCCCGTCTGTCCCATCCCGTGTCCCATCCCGTGTCCATCCCATGTCCATCCCGTGTCCATCCCATGTCCATCCCGTGTCCATCCCATGTCCATCCCATGTCCATCCCATGTCCATCCC